ATTTTATCCTTAAATTTTATTTTATTCACTTAATTATTTAATAGTTATGAAAATAGTTATCATTACACTTTTGTAAATCTTGTCATTAAATTTAAAATAAAATGTTAATATAACAATTAGTAATTTTTTAAAGCTAATTTATTAACTATAAAAACAACATTTTAAAAAATCTTTAAACTTTTAACATTTCTCTTCAATTTCTAAAAAACCTTAGATTATCATCTTTGCACCAAAGTGCCTAAAGTTAATCTAAAATATTCATTTTAATTACTAATATCTATTTTCTTCCAAGTCAAATATTAAAACTTCACATCTAACCCAAACCTTTTTATTAAATCAAATCTATTTATTTTATTTTGTCATTTGCTATATAAGTTTTTTATATGTTTCTAAATTTATTAAATTTTTTAGATGTTTTCTATTATATTTTTTTCCCACAATATAGTTAGATAATTATTTCATAACTACCAAAAATTTCGAAGGATAATATATTTCACATTGAATATGCTTAAGTTTGATTTTAAACACAAATTTATAGCTTTACAACTATATGTTACTCCATTTGGTCCTTTTTAATTACTCAATTTCATTGACTTTATGTTAATTAACTTAATAATTTTATATAAACAAATTATTCAACAAACATTATGTCTGATTTAAGAGAAAATATTCAACAAACACTATGTTTGAGAATTGAAGGAAAAAATTTTCAGTTATCATCTATCTGCTAATAAAATAATAAATCAAACTTTATCCAAAATCAAATTAACACAACTAAAATAGATCAGAGAAAATGATACTTTATAAACACAAATTTAATTTTAGTATCACAAATTTAGCACCCGTTTGTTCCCAAAATTTGCCCCCCCTCATCCCAAATCCTAACTCGGTCACTGTACGTAGGTTAATAAATTCTTAGTAACAAGTTTCTGAAACTTTATGGGAAATCCTTATTCCTTATATAGTGGTGATAAATTCTTAGTAACAAGTTCCTTTTTTTAACAAATTTAAAAGAATTATGATTATTGTCGTAATAGGTAACACAACCAAACTTAGAACTCTTACTGTACCAAGAAAAAAAGAGAAAAAAGAATACCTTTCTTAAAATACGTCTTTCACATATTTCCAATGATTTTTATTTTATAAATGAGTTTTGACTTGTCAATTATATTGTCAATTACAAGGTTTGAATTTTAGCATTTATGATTTTCTGTAAGTTGTCTTCTCAACTATGTTGCCAGTTACTAGGTGAATTTCAACATTTTTATTTTTTTCCTTTTCTTTTTTGTTGTTTGGCTGATAAGGTAAAAAAAATAAAGCTCAAATTTAGGATCTTAAATCTTAGTCTCAATTAAAGTGACCTTTCTATCCATTCAAAAATCAAAAAGTGAACCGGTTCTATATTCATTTAGGGTACGTTTGTTATAGTAGTTTTGGGATAGCGGTTAACAATTTTACCTAAACTAACTAAGTATGGGTGTTTGGTAAACTTATATATTTCGAAATCGCTATAAATAAGTGTTTGGTAAAATTTTTATTTAGCGGTTTAGGACTAGTGGATTGCGATTAGGGATCCAAACCGTTAGTGAATTGAAAAGGCTAATTTAGGTAGTTTTTTGTACCAAACCGTTAATGGATTGGAATTTTTTAATTTTATTGACAAATTTATCCTTTTTAATTTTTTAATTTTTGGTTACATTTTTTAATTAATATTTATTTAATAAGTTTTAATTTTGTTTTTTTACCTTTAACAACATTAAGTGATTATAATATTTTTATTTTGTATATTAATTTATCATTAAAAGATATATTATCTTAAAAAACAAAATTTGCTAATTAGACAAAATGATTAATTTTTTATTTAAAAATAATATAATTTTTTTTAGTTAAAAATAAAAATTAGGATGTAATTACATTATTATAATTTATTTTATTTATTTTCTTATTATTATTTTTATAAAATTAATAATTTTAATAATAAAAAATAAAAAAATTTAAAAAAATACACTTAATTGTTTTTCAACATGTCCTTATCAATCATTTAATATTAAACAACAACCGCTAACTATTGTTTAACCAAACAGTTATATTTATCGAATTCGTTATCTACTATCCGCTATCCATTTTCCGCTATCTGCCATCCATTATCCGCTAACCGCCACCCGCTACCCGTTATCCGTTATCTGCTGAATTTTAACTGTTGTACCAAACAGACCCTTTGTTTCTTTTGTTTCAAAAGTCTTAGTACTTTGTTTGGATTTTCTGGTTTGGGAAGTATGCTCTAAATACAAATTTCCTCATTTTTATAATAAGAAGGGAAGAACCTGAAACCATCAATTCTTAGACAAATGAGTTTGGAGATTGTATATTCATAGATGCAAAAGATATGCGAGATTTAGTGCGATGTGAATTCAATGGAAGATTGGTTTAGAGGGCAGCATTATGTGTACAAAGGATATGGACTTTATCCCGGGAAATAGCACAGTGCATTTGCATTGATTGTAAAATGGTTTCATCATATGAACCTTGCCTTATTGGGGTCTTAACTCTTTGTTTATGCATTCTTGGATTGGTTCAAGACAGCATTATATGTAATTAAAGCTCCTAATAATGTTTGTCAATAATGCTTTCTTTCAAGCCTCATATAATATTAGTCCCTTCTGAAAATAGGGGTTTTAGGGGAAAGTTGAAATCCCAAAATCAAAATTAGGCTTATACATTATGAATCAAAATGTACTTGATTCATAATATATACATGTTATATATGCTGTGGAAGAAAACAAGACAAGTACAAGATCAAGCAACATGATTTAGCTTGGATTTATGTGTTTATGATTTAATTATTTTGCATGTTGGGAGAATTTTGAGTCATGTTCATAATAGAATTGAGTACCCCTTGTACTCATATTTACTTTAAATTTTGTTTTGTTGGCTGATAAAAATATAATTTTATATATACACTTTTTTTATTGTTATCCTAATGTATAATTGTTAATGTCAATTCCTCTCCAATTTGCTTTGCATTGGATGTTTCAATTGCCACCATTATTGATACAACTAAATATGTAGCGAAACAAAATCTCACTGTCTTTGCCAAATATCATATACACCATAGATTGGAAAAAATATTTATCATCTATACTTACAAAAAAATTAAGAAGAAAAATATCTCAAAATTAAGTCATTTTAATAAATTTTTATAAAACAAAAATGAGATTATTATAATCTTTTCTTGTGACATTTTATTAAAATGGCATAATTTTGAGTGTTTTTTACTCAATTTTTTTTGTAAATCCAACTGAAAACACTAATCTCTTATAGATTAATATCTTCTTTATCATTCATAAAAAATTATAATTAATAATTAATTAATAGTTTGAACTCTTTAGAATTTTTTATTTTTTTGCAAAAACCCCTTTAGCCCTTATGCATTAATAAAATAATCATTTAAATAACATCATTTAGGGGTCGGCAAATGTCTGGTTAACCAAATCGTTTTTGCAAACAGTGATGTAATTGATGTAATTGCAACTAGTAACATTATTCAGTTAACCAAAAATCAATTAAAAAAATAATCATATAGTAAGATTTTTTTTTTTTTTTGGTCTTGGTTATAATAAAAAAAATTTGGTAGACTATTGATTAGGGGGTTTGAAAATCAAAAACCAAAAATACAACCGAAAAATTTTTATATTAAAAAAAATAACTATTTTTTGAATATTATAAATAAATATAAAATTCATCTTAAATTTATCTTATTCAATTTCTTTTTCAAGTATTACCTTATCAATTTTGTTATTATTTAAGTTTTGAATTTAAAATATATTTAAATATTAAAAAATTCAACATTTCATATTTTCTCCTTATTTATTTACCATTTTTTATCTTATTTTTACATTTGATAATTATTAGTAAAAACTGAAACTAAACTTAACATGTTTTAGAAAAACCACATTAAATTCTTTCCCAGAGATTAATAATAATAATAATAAAAATGATGATGATAATAATAATAATATTGTAATGTAATATGCAAATTTAAAAAAAGAGACAATACTTAATCCATTAATTCATAACAAAAAAATGTACCTTACTTGAACGATCAGTGCTTTCTTCAAATGACGAAAGAAAGAACGTGCTTGGCGAAAGGCTTCTTCACTGCTTGCACGCAGCAATACACCTTCTAGCTACTTCAAAGATTTTCATTTCGTGCACAGTCGATTCAACCACTTTTTACCTAATGTATAAATATAATTAATTTAATCATTAAAATATGATATAAATACAATTGATTTAGTCAGTTCTTGTATAACATATGTATAATTACATTTTAAAATTCGTTTACCTTTAATTTTATATAAAAAAATAATAATATTTTAATAAGTATATTATGTAGTGTGTTAAATTAGATGGTACCAACCAGTGTCCAAAAATAAATTCATTAATTCTGCTTTAATTTTTATCATGTACACTATAACAAATTATAACAAAATTACTTCATTAATTCTGATACAACTGAATATATAGCGAAACAAAAACCCTTGACTTAGCTAGATATCTTATACACTATAACAAATTATAGATTGGACAAAATGTTTATCAACCATAGTTGCAAAAAAATTAGCTGAAAAAATATTCAAAAATTACATTGTCTTAATAAAGTCAATTTGAAAAAGACTAAAACTTTTTAATTTTAAGGGCACAGCTTAAGTAAGTAATTAATGTATTTTTTTGCCATTAAGTTACACAAAAAGAATAAAGTTTGACTTTAATTTTAACAACTAACCAATTAAATTAAGACATGTGGTTTTAATTGCAAAACTAATATCAACTTTTTTGTTTTTCTATGTAAATTAATCGTTAAAAGGTGTATTAATTACATCATATTTTATTAAAATAACATAATTTTAAGTGTTTTTTACCTCTTTTTTTTTGCAGATCCACTTGATAAACAGTAATTTCTTGATTTATATTTTCTTTATCTTTCATAACAAATTTTAATTAGCAGGTTAGATTCTTTAGACTTTTTTTTGTTGGGTCAAAAACCCTTCGGACCTTATGCACTAATGAAGTACTCATTTAAATAACACTATTAACCATGCCATGCATCGCATGACTTAATAACTCGTTATTTTTATTTTCGAAACCATGTTAAATTACTTCTCAAAGATTAATAATAATAATAATAATGATTTATATTGTGATCTACCATATAAATTTTAAAATGAGACAACACTTAATTCATAGCAAAAAATATACCTTGCTTGAACGACTACTGCTTTCTTCAAATGACGAAAGATAGAATGTGCTTGGTGAAAAGGCCTCTTTACCGCTTGCACAGTTGCACGCACCAACATAACTTCTAGCTACTTCAAAGAGTTTCACTACATGTAAAGAAGAAACCAAAATGTAACAAATTAGTTAAAAAAGCAAAAAGGCAATCCACGATTGATCAAATCCTTTGGAGGAGAGAGGGAGTGTATTATTCCAAAGAAATTGAAGTTTTAATAAATTAGTCTTGAAACCAATAAAGTAAATAATACTTTAAAGCAAATAATACTTAATTATTTTCCTAAATTAATTAATTATATATATTTTTAAAGTGTTTCAAATTAATTATTATTTTTTATTTTTTAAAAAGATAAA